AATCCTTTGTGTACTAATTTTATCCCAACAAATTGGGATCGATTCTTTGTTCATCCCATTACTCTGACAATACACTCCCATTCCAACAATGTTTCCAGAAACAAGTATTCGAAGTTTCCTTCCACAGCCTTTCCGATCGCTCACGCCCTGTCACAAGTTCGTGATTTGTCTACCCTAACTGACCTCACTGGCGATCCTGTCCCTGCCCAGCCTCAATCCCCCATTAAAATATGTGACGGAACTGTTTCCATCTCCCCGGTCAGCTGCCCTCTGTGGGGCCGACCTGGTCAAGGCCGTTCAAATTGCTCTACACAGTCACGTACGTGTGCCAATTGTGGTGGCTCCCATAGTGCCTTTCATAGGAGCGGACTTCCCTGCAAATTCAAGTCTCAAGGAGCAGTTTTCAGATTCAAATTAGGGACCACTCTACGTGAGGGCAGCCAAGCAGCACGTCGACGATTTTTTTTTCTTCGCTATCAATGCTAACATCATCCTTCGCTCTGCTCCTATTCCTTCTTCCAAAGGTGTTTCAGCATCTCCATCAGTATCTCTTCCTCCTATCCCTTACCATCCTTCTTCCAGCCATTTCTTTTTCCACTCTAAATGTAGATATTCTAACCCTTATCACTTCCCCGGTGCCAACCCTTTTCTCGCTTTACCTGTCGCACCAGGCAATCTAAACGTTCTATCCATCTTCCACCGCATTTTCTCTGACATTCACTTCATCTGCTGCTCGGATATGTCTCCTCTTCTCCTCATAAGAAAACCTTCGCTTCCCAGATCTCCCCAACTCTCCTCCATAAACTCAGGAGGACATCCAAAACTTCTTAAACAAGGCCCGAGAGAATGCTTCTCCCTCTCATCCACACTTCAGTCTTTCTGCTCCTATTCCCTTTATGAAAAATATGAAGTGACTTAAGTAATGATAATCATAATAATGATTATGAAAATTAAAACATGATCAACGATATCAGAATGTAGATACGGGTGATTCAATAATGGAAGAACAAATTTTAATATACATTGAAAGATGAAGTTAAGGGCTTAAGAGTTTTGACATAAAACATTAACGGAATCAACTATATCTCTCTCCCAACCATAAACTGATCGCCCTTTCAAGTAAGAAACTTTTCTCGAAAATGATTTGCTAAATGTCGGTTGCAGTAGAATTAACTGGTTTGGTTTGATTCCATTTGTTACAATGGATATTCTTGGTGTGACATAGTGTCTGTTTCATGTTGCTTCTAAGTAATCCCCTGTGTGCAAGGAATGGCCGGGGTTACCATCCACTGGCGGCGAGGGATTCGAACGCAGGTCAGCAAGATTGCTAGACGAGATCGCTGCCGTTGCACCACACAGTGATCGTTAGACTTAAAAAGTTTTCCTGGAGCAAGCGTAGGACGAACATGGAATCAACAGTTGGTAATTACGGATATATGGAGTACCTAGACTTCTTTAACGGTTCTATGTTGTAATATGAGGACACACCACAATGAAATCACCAGGAAATGCGACATAGAACGATGCAAGTTGGGGCTCTGTAACATACACAAAAATAATTTAATTGTTATCATTTTATTACCATGTTTTGGTCACTGTTCTGCTAGCATCCATAAACATTTCTTTAACCTTGTGCCTTTAAAATAATAGGTTTGTCTTTTATAATCATCACTGTATCGTCTTTCCATTAACAAGTATGGATCAGTTCTTGCCAAATATTATGGAAATTACATAACTGACTCAGATCTAACTTCTATTCCCACCATCATTAATATCGCGACTCACCAAAATTTATTTTCATTATAATTACAATTGCTGTCACTACTGTATTTTTCTTGATCTTTATCATAACCATTATTAAGAACTGTTATTCCCTCATCATAAATAATATTGGATCATTACGCATTATCTTATTAAAAAAAAAAAAAAAAAATCCCCTTTCTATACTGACTAAAATCCGATAAATCAAGATTACTGTGTTACTCAAAGTTAAAATAAGATTTCAGGTATAGTTTTCCAAGCTACAGAAATACGATGCCCGAAGATCCTGTCGCTCTCGCACTCCTGTACCTACGTACATGAGTGTTCTCCTTTTCCTTCTCCTCGTTCTCCTTCTCCTTCTTCTCCTTCTCCTTCTCCTCCTCCTTCCCCTTCTCCTTCTTCTGCTTTTCCTTCTCCTCCTCCTCCTCCTCCTTCTTCTTCTACAGAATCCACGATTCTGGATTTTATGTTTACAACATAAGGTGCCACAGTTTGCACCAAAATGCCTGAAATGGAACATAAAGTTACGAAGAAGCAAGCTGATTTCAGCAATCAATAAATTCTAAATAAACCAGTTTTTACACAATAGTGAAAAAAATACGTTTGCAATCATAATGTTTCCTAAGGATAAGAGACAACGAAATGATAAATACATTAAATCGGTCATAAAAAGGCGTAAGGAAAGTATATATTATATGTCAAAAGTGACGTATTATCAAAAACAATAAAATTAAATACA